TTCCCCAGCTAAGGCCCTTGAGAAGAGAGCTGGGGATGGTACCCTGTTCAGGTAACAGCTTCAGAGGCTGTTGTATTGTGCTTGTCGCTTGGGGAAAGAGCCAGCAGTTGTGTGACCAGGTTTACAAACGCTTTCTCTGGAACATTCCAAACGTTTTATTATTTCAAGAGCTAACCTAGAGTCTTCAAGGATCCTGCCACTAAGGTCTGACTGATGGTATTAAACTGGGGCTGGACTTCGCAAAAAATGTGCCCCAACTTATATAAAATACTAGTAGAGAGTGTTTCAAAGGAGCCCTAGTTTCAGAGAATTTTGGAAACAGAAATACTGTGAAGTTGCCCCATCTTCCTGCTTCCCAACTATTCCCTTCCACCAAAACTCCTGCTACAGGAGCAGGGCAACCCAGCCCCAGGGCACCTCCTACGCCTCCGGAGATGGAACAAGCTCCAGGCGCTCTGTCAGGCAGACAGTCTAAGTGCACAGGTAGATGCCCTCAGGTGGCTTCTGATTGGACATTTGTTATACCAAAAACACCAATTTAAAAGGATACCTTTGAAACCCATTAAATTGCTCAGTTTTTGCACAAACTATAGAAAACAGAGAGGTGAAGGCGATATATACGAGGGTGTGAAGAAAACAGCAGGAAACATGCAAAACATTTCTGGGCACTATCTTAGTTTGAAAGAATAAAACAAAAACATCACATTTTGCTGAGGAGATTGTAGTTACGAAAAAACAAGCATGCTGGGGCTTAACAAAATACAACATCAACTTTGATCAAATTTTCACTGCAGACTGATAATCACACAGGGGAGGGGGAGGGGAAATCAGTAAGTGCCAGGGCAAAAACGTAGCTACAATCAGAAGAAAGTGTAGTTCAAGTGTTTTCTGCTGATGCCACTCAAGTCACGAGTTTGAACTCATAAAAAATACATGCTGTCTCCTCAAGCACAGAAACCAGATCAGCAAAATGTGACTAGGAAGCCTCCTGAAAGATTGAGTCACACCATATAATTGACTTTTTCTTCAAAACTGTGTTTTTAAAACTAAGCACACAGAAAAAACTAAGCCTAGAAAGTGATTGGCTGTATGTTCACAGAAATACAAATACTCCACAAGGTATGCTAGCAAGGCTGCTCTGAAGACAATTACAAAGAATCAGATTCACAAAATCAAGTGGTTATCTTACGAAGGTCTAGAAAAATAGAAATTTTTTTTATATTCAAATGCAAGTTTAAATATTCCCCTTCAGCAGTCTTTCTAGCAAAACCAATTTGGCAGCACAAAAAAAAAAAAAAAAAACAAAAAAAGGAAAAAAAACAAAAAACCCAAAAACCAAAAACAAGAAAGAAACAAACATAATAAAAATACACATCAGCATCAAAGGTCAACACAAGGTCAAAGGTGAGAGTTCAAGCATCAGAGAAGCTGAAGAGACAAGGATTTGGACGATGTACTTGAACGCCACATCGACATGCTTTAGGCACAACGATGAACAAACGGCAGGAATCTAGAAAAAAAACAAACCAGAAAGAGGGAGACCCACTGAGTTACACAGAGCAGTACATCCAAACACGGAGAGAGAGAGAACAAGAATGGGCACCGTACGACGAGACCTCCTGGGGAAGGGAGTCGACAGGGAAGGGCAGCACATGCTAACGATGGACAAGTAAAAGTCAAAGTACATGAAGGACACCAAGTAAACATCAAACTGCCAGAAACCAAATGGAAGCAGAGGCCTGGATTTCCCTCTCCACGCCCAGGCTGTGGGGCACTCCACGGCCTCCTGACACGCTGATCAGCATGCATTCACCTTGTCCCGTGCCCACGGTCTCTACTAGCTCTAAGAGAAGAACAGAGCAAGCACTCTCCCCAGGAGATTGACTCTAAAAAAATATGGCTCCAGGGCTAACATTTGCCCACAGAGATTAAGACCATGAGAGACAAGACAAGAGGACACAAGGGATTCACAGGTGGTTTGACGGCTGAGACTTTTCTTGCATCCTAACATGGGAAGTTCTTAGGCAGTGGTAGCCCAGGAAATCCATGTTCTTTTTTTCAGCTACAGCCCCTTCTTATTCCCTAGGAGCCCAGGAAACTGGGAGCGGGTGGTTTGAAACAGGGGGAGGGGAGGAAAAAAAAAAAAAAGATTATACGAGACAAATAAGTGGAACCAAAAACCCCACACAATAGAGAAGGAATCCTTAAGACTTGACTGCAAGTTAAGACTTGTCCTAGCTGAGCCCTTTTCATACCATTAGACCTGCCCAGGGATTTTCCTTTCCCAACCTTTTATACAAACAGCCCCCGGCTCCCTGACTTTCTGAGGAGGGGATTCTGGGCTCTGAGAAGCTCTACAGTCACTGTTGCCAGTTTCATGAGTAAAAAGATGTGTTTCCTGAAGCCTTCTTGAGCTGAATTTTTAAAAATAATAATTCTTATGTTAAGTGATAGAAACACCTCTGCTGCCTCCCCTCAGCCTCTGAACTGCAGAACAGAAGGAACAGTTTGGGAAGAATGTAGGAGGTAGGGGAGAAAGGAAGCAAGTTCCCCCCCCCCCCCCCCTCTTTTCTCTAAGATTTCATCCTAATCTCCTGTTTGGTGCCCTATTCTTCAGCACCTCTCAGTGCTACTGGTTAGGAACTGGAGCAAGATAAGAGACTTTCATGTTATCCTGTCACATTTATAGCACGCTTGAGAATATCAAGCATTGCACTCTAGTTTCAAAGCAAGAAGAACACTGCCAACTAAAACTGCAAACTTACTAGTACTGCTGAGATGAATTTGCTCTTCATACTTTCCAATTTAGAGAAAGGACTTCATATGGAGCTTAAACCAACTCCAGCAAACAGAGGGCAGTTCAACTCTTACAGTTGTTTCTAAAGTTCTAGAAATGCTCTAGGTAGTTTGCAGAACTGTGAGGTTTCAGCTGTAAACCAGAGAGGCAAACTCATCACAGGAGCTCTGAGGCATGAGAAAGAAAAAAAGTAATGAAATCAAGTGACATCTAGCATGCACCACAGAAATTCCTTGTGTGATTTGTTTTAGAGGTTTTTAATAGACATCTTTTCAAATATTTCACTCAGCAATTTTGAGGGGAAGACCAAGTTTTATTAAAGGTCTTTTGGAAGAGCAAAAACAGTCCTTAGCCTGGCCTGCAAGAGCAGAGCCATGAGAAGCTGGATAAGAACTTAGTAACTTGGGGAAAGTTATTTCAGTGTGTCCCTGTAATTCTCACAGCTGTGATAATGTAGTACAACTTTCTTCATTCTGTATGTTATACTTTGTGGTAAGTCTGATCAGTGATGCACAACATCCTTACGTTTAAGTGTCTGCATCAGGAAGCTCTCAAAGCACATTATGTACGGCTGCATCCTTCATTTGCAAGGTGATTTATCCAAGTTGCTTTTAGAAGTTTCCAAACTAAATAGTTAGGAACAATTTCACAACTAAATGGTTTCTATTTGCCTTTCCTTCCCTAACTCAAACTATTAGCAAGATGAAATGCTCAAGTTAATTCTGTCATGCAAGCAGGCTTCCAATGTAACTTTTCCCATATAGGTGAAAATCTTTTTCCTTATATTTTCTTGTAAGAAAATTTCTGAAACACCTATTTTCCCGATAATAGAGCCCACAGCTAATAAATCTATGTCATTGTTCAGATACAAAAAGACATTCACTGCTATTGTTTCAGATACCTTTGAAAAGTTGCAATCCTCATTCTGCTTAGGCTTCACTTTCATGACTACCAAGGCATTTTCTCATAATGCAAGCTTTGCATTGCTGGAAGAAAAACTAAGCTACAAGGAGACATCTAATTTTAGACTGCTGGTTATCTGCGGGGCTGAAGAATCTACAAGTCAGTTTGCTACAGTACTAGATACTGAGCAGCATCAGACTAAGACTTGGATTGTTCATAATATTTCTATCTTATTATGGCATGTCAAGGAGAATCAAATGTCTTCTGAGAAAAATCTACTAAGTAGACAAATATTTCCATCTTGCTTCTAGAAATACACAAGTATTTCCTGGTGCACATATGGAATTCTGTTGCATCAGAAATCCTACTGGCTTTTGTTGTAGAAAATTCAGATTCTTTGGTTTTTGAGCGTACAAAATACTTTGCCCATATGGCTACTTAAGCAAATCCTTCTGCAGCTTATTTGAACTATCCGACTCTTATCCTACTATCCATGAAATAAAGCGTTCGATACAAGAACAGATCATAACCAAGACATGTATCTAATGACAGCTTCCAACATTAAAATACTGCAGGGAGTATCAAGTTTGCCCCAAACGTTTTTGCTACTTTAATTTCTTACGTCTTCTATTGTTCCTTCCAGTCTCATTTTTACTAGCCCATTTTTATTTTTTTTTTTTTTTTTTTTTTTTTTTTAAAACTGCTGTTCTGCAGATAATTTCCTCCTCAGGATATTTCTAAGCATTACTCAAAGTATTTTAGTAGATTCTTTCACATCAGCTGCTAATTCAGAATCTCCTTCTATGTTTTGGGCAGTTCAGCCCACCAGGCCCCAAAACAGCTGACTGATTTGATTTGCACTTGAATGAGAACATGACAGGAACCTAAAAATCAAACAAAATCCCCAGGCCCCCAACCTTTCCTGCCAATGAGTGAGGAGGAAAACTGGCTTAGAACTGGAAGGCAAGAGGAGCCTTCCAGTCAGTGGCAGCCGCCAAGCAGACACAGAAATGTTCATTTTAATCTGATCAGTTGCATTATCAGAAAAAAAATCTGCCCCAGTCACAGACTTGATACATTTATTAACTTTGGCAACATATACATAGAGACACCAAAAAAAAAAAAAAAAAAAAAAGCGGGGGTAAATCTGAAACAAATACACAAAAAGTGCAAAATCTTCAGCTGGTGAAAACTGATGCAGCTCTACTGAAGAGAGCAAAACAGCATTGATTCAAGCCATCTGAGGATCACACCTTTCAGAATTTAACCTGCATAGATTCATAGATTTTGTTTTTTCTCTCTTTTTGGCAACACTTATAATGTAGTTATGCCAGTAAGGCACAAGAGCTAGCCCAAGTTAGGTGTCTATGGTGATTATGTTTGGCAAGAATCACTGACCAAACTGAGCCATAATGTAAACCGTTGAATTTCCTAACGCCAATAGGAGTTGCACCTATTTGCAATAACGCCAAGCTTGATCCAAAAGTTGCAGTACTGAGGACATGCTTATAGGAGGCAAAAGCTAAAATGTCTAGTTTAGGGCAACTGAAATGACTACTGAAGAGGCCAGAGCACCACATTAAAAGAAAAACAGGACAAAGGTCTCAGATGGTACAGTGGGTAGGGTGCAAAGAAGGTAAGAGTGACTGTAGAGACCCCAGAGCACAGTGCTCTCCTCCACTGGTTCACAGCGTTAATCTTCCCCATTTAGCAGTTGTTGGGCTGCAAACAGGCCACTGAAAATCAGTAGTTTCAATCATGCACATCATTATGTGTGTAAAACAATCACATTCAGGATTTTACAAAACCCTGGCCTTTTTTTCCAGTGAAATAATTTAGGTAATAAATATTCTCCATCCTGGAGCTGTATAAAACTTCTATAAAAATAGAAACAACATTCTTGGTTACAGCAGGTTGCACCTGGAGCAGCTGCTCCCAACCATGTTTTTTTTTTCTTTTTTTTTCTTGAAAAGTATATTATTTATAAAAAAATCCCATTATCACCCTGGAGGCCTTCACACTCCAACACTCTAACACTCTCTTCTCAGAAAACCAGGACACATCTCTCCCATTGTGCAGAATTCAAGTGTACATGGTTCACTTAAGTGTATGCTTACGTTTCTAGAGAGATCCAAATAATTAACATGGAAGGGTACCACATGCCAGCATAAATGGGAAATTTGGCAGTCTGGCCTTTTAACCTTTTCCACCAAAAAATGATCTGAATACTGATAGATTATTTTACCCTTCTGCCATCAAGGCACAGATTGGTACCAACTAACTGTTCGATTTTCAATTCAACAATGGAAAGGACTCTTCTTGGATGCTATGGTCAGGCCTTGTACTTCTGAGGTTTGAGATGCCAGGGAACCCAGTCTGTACGAATGCCTGACATTCCCAATGGACCACAGCAGAACCCCTTGCACGTGGGCGCACATTTTCTAACATGATTTCAGGTTTGATGGGTTTAGTGCTCCTCCTGCTGGAGCAGAACAGAAAGTCCAAACCCTGTTTCCCACTCCACACTCCTTATTTAGCAGCTGGCTCCCAGATTGCAGTGTTACCTAGTGCCCTGGGCATCACCAATTGGGTATATAAAGGAAACAAGGAAATGGAGAAAATATGAGGTAAATAGAACTTCTCTTAAAGACATACATAAATTGTAAACTTCCTCTTGTGACAGAGGTGGATTTTGGTGATTATAACACAGGACTCTACTCTTCTTCAAACAACTCAGGCCAGAGTGTCAAAAATCCTTTGAGCCCCCCTAAAACCAGTGTATAACAAGGCCCTTAGCAACACATTAGCAATTTCATAAGTGTGCAAAAGAAGTGTATGTTCACTGGAGGGGTGTGTTTAATTTTCCTTCAGTATAGGAGATAACAGCTGATGCCAAAAGGCAGAATAAGACTGGATGGCTCTGCTCTGGTTCAAAAGCTCCTGTATTAGCCCTGTTTTGCACTGGCACACATCACCTTAAAGGAAAACTGCAGTATAAAAAAAAAAAAAAACCTAAATACTAGACTAAATCACAGCACAAATTAGTTTTTTAAATGGGGAATTATCTTTGCAACAGAGTAAGACTGAGAAAGCAACTGTCATGTGAACATGTATGAAGCAGAAGCCTGAAGAGCTATTTTAGGGTAAACTCTTGGCTTTGTATGTCAATTTAACAGCCATTTCAATAGAGGAACAGCCTTACATTATGCTTATCAGAATGAATTCAAAGCAATGCTCTGTAGAAGAGCATTACTCCACAGACGTGGGGAATTTAAGGAAACGGCAGGAAAAAGATTTGGCAAAAAAATATTCTCTACATTGTCAGGGATCTGAAGTTTCTGTTTATAGCCCAGTTTGTATCACTCCAGACTAAGCTGTCTCTCTCTAAATTTTTCTACAACACCTAGCTGAATTATATAGGGATATTTTTTCCTAAGCATGGAGAAATTCACTGCATTCCATTAATATTCAACTGTAAATGGCCAGTGAAATTTTCTGGGCCAGGACATTACTTAGTTTTACAAAGCACTGCATATGTTCACAGTGCTATATAAACATCACTTTATACACAGTAAAAAACAACCAAAAAACAACAACCCCCCCTCCAGTCACTGCAGTTTTCCTTTAACTCATAAATGTGTTCGCCCTTCTAGCCTGTCTCCTGCTTTAGAGATGAATTACTAAATCTCCACAAAGGCATACCGTTAAGGAATTTTCAAAGAGTAGGGCATGGCAAAGGCTATGCGGAGTCTGTTCCTTGCTCAGCCAAACTTGGATGGACTCAGTTCTCCTTTCCCATCTTTGTTTTCATCAGCTGTTCAGCGTTATTTCTGCTCCCCTTCTCCTCTGCCCATGGCAGTGTGGTGTCAGTTCTGCTTCCCCTTCTCCTCTCCACCCCAAGGCAGTGTGGTGTCAGTTTCTGCTGCTCCCTTTTATCTTCCCTCCCCACCCCCAAGGAGCTGGCATTGGTCCTTCTCAACACACACTGGTTACAAACACAGCAAACTTTAAATAAGGGAAAAAAAACCTCAGCGATATGGCACCTAAACTCCAAAGTAAAACACTGGAAACAAAAGCACAAACTTGTCCTCCATCCGAAGCGGGATTCCCAGCGGAGGCTGCAGCCGAGTCTTCAGGGGAAGATGTGCCAGATAGAACAGGCATGGATCAGCTTCCAGGACTGTAAAAACACAGCCTTAGGGCTTCCAATCACTAAGTGCGCTCCTCCCCAACTTACCAGAAGATCCTTCTCACTCCAGTCCCGGAGGGGAGGGGCGCTCAGTATGGCTTGCTGTCATTCTTAGAGCGCTTGAGTTGTACTTTCAGACGCTTCATGCCAATCTGAAAGCCGTTCATCGACTGAATGGCAGCCTGTGCAGAGACAGGATTGTCGTAACTCACAAAACCTAAAGAAATAAAAATACATAATTACAGCGTGCCAAAAGTTCTCCATAACAGTTACGCACGGCTGGAAGTGCAGCCCCTCACAACGTAAGAGAGACTTGAATGAAATGCCATTTTCAAAAGCTCACAACTCTTTATTATATCATTCATAAACAATTCCTACCAAGTGCTTTCAGACAAAGTGTTACCTTCTAACATACAGACCTTTGACCAAAAGATATAAAAAGTTCAAGAATTTAATATTTTTCCAGTCTTTACACTCAAACAGCAATACTTGCTTTTGTTCAAATTTTACAAGAACTCACACCTGTAAGCAAAATGTTAATCTATATATGAAAGTTCACTAAAGACAAAAGACTGAAATCATCATCTTGGCATTATGGGAGTAGGTTTGTTTGGAATGAAGTAGCTGTCACAGCAGTGTGACACTAGTATCACTATCCTGTTTGGATTTCTGTCCGGTGAAAAAAAAATTTATATTCATTCTAGGGAAAGGCCATCCTCTAGGTTTTGAGGAAACCCATCTTAGATAACCCCAGCTGATGGCTGGTATCACTGCCCTTGGACATCATTCCATACACAGATGTTAAGGCCTCAGCACTTTTTGTGTGTGTCAAAAATGATTAACTTGCCAGCATGTTTCTGATCATCAAATACTAACAGATACAAGACATCAAGTAGGCACAAGGCTACCAAAGCCATAGAAAAAGGCTGACCTCTCCTATTCCATCACAGAAAACCTCCACTGAGCAAAACAGACCTGAGACCTTACTGCACTACCAAAATGCCACATCTGCTATCACTAGGGTTTCAAAGAGGGGAAAACAAAACCACGAATCTTTCCCTCCACAAGCACAGCCTTATACTATTCAAGCTAATGCAGAATATCTACTTTGCTCTTGTGGCTACACAAACTGAAGGAGTTAACTGAAAATAATCCAATCAGATAATAACAGTAGAGTGACAGGCTGATTTGCAGTTTTAGGATACGTTTCCTGCCCTGATATGCTTCCACAGTCCAATATATGATAAGTAGACCAAAATTAGGATGAGAAATGAAACACAAGATAGGTAGCAAATAACAGCTGAAATGACTTTATTTAAGTAACAAAGGCTTCAAGAATCAGGAGGAAGCTTTAAAAATTGCCTTCTGAGCACTCCCTACCGTATTGTAGACATAATAATAATATAAAAGTATAAACAGAAATAACTCACAATGATAATAACAAATGCAAGTAGTATACACATCAGTGTAAATAATTATTGAAAAGACAGAAAGGGGGAAGAGGAGGAACTGCATCATGATTACAGTCTGCAAACACCAATCATGGTGAATTACGTAGGGCCAAAATGGTATAATGAGGCATAATATGAAATTAAGAAAAGTAAAAAGTCACAGTGAGCATCAGGAAAATACCCTTCGTTATTGGAAGAGTTCAGATTTGTTTTTTCTTTTTTTCTTAAGGGATACGAAGGAAGATTCACCACTTTACTTAAAAGCTAGATTGGATAGAGTACTGGAAGAGACATTACTAGGAACAAGGAGCCACAGATTCCAAAGGCATGAACTGCAATGAAGCCCAATTTGCAAACAAAGCACAGGAGATAACAGGATGGGAAAACTCAGTGAGTCACACACCAGTGTAACTGACATCACTTAAAAATGTGGTCTTAAAACACAGAGCTTTCTTAAGCTAAACAAATAAAATAGTTAAAGTAATTCAGAAAAGTAAATATGTAGTTGTCATTACTGTACCTTGTCCCTCACTACGAACTTCAAACGTTTCCCCCACCCTCCAAAAAGAGTAACTTCAACTTATCTTCTCATTTTCTACTAACTTGGTCTTTCTACTGTGCACCCCCTCCTACAGGTAATGATTAGCCCCAACATACCAAAACACTTGCTTAGATTGGTCTGCTTGTCAATGAAAACCTTAGCAGAGACGACATTTCCAAATGGCATGAACATCTGCAGCAGATCCTGGTCCCCAAACTCCTGGGGGAGATGGTAGATGAACAGATTGGCTCCCTCTGGACCTTCAAACAAAAAGTAGAAGCATAAGTTCAGGAGAAAACATGGGTACCATAGGCCTACTTCACCAAAAAGGTGAAAGAGCCTTTCAAGCCAACTAAATCTGCTAGAGGAAACAATGAACTTGTTATAACAATGACCTTGCTGTGGGCACTTCTGCAGAGTACTTGATTCCAGAGTAAGTCAGCATGATCTGTTGCTGGGATTGACCAGTCAAAGAATTCTAGCTCTTTCTCCAGCATTTTTGCCTGTAATTTTTGTACCGTACCAAAACAGGCTTACAGATCTTCGCTATAACAAAGGCCAAATAATAAGCCTGAGGCCCAGAGGCTGACTAAAACAAAAAACGGCTATACCAAGCTTGCTGTAAAAAGAAGCTAAATACATCTCAGTACAAAATACAAGTAGCCATACTACCTGCATTATCCCAAATTCTTAGCTCTAATCCCTCGCTCCATATTTTTTCTAATCATCATTCTATATTCTGTTTAAAATCTATCCCCACATTCTGCATTATTTTACAACACTACATGTTAAATTAACTCTGAATCTAAAGAGCAAAAAGATCGGCATTAAGGACCTGGGGAAAGAGGAGAAGGACAAAGACATGGGGGTCCAAATTTAGAAATAACCAGGAAAACAGATTTAAGAAAAACCCAACTAATTCCCTGACAATGGGATGTATCATGCTGCAGACCCACACTCTCCTCTCCTCTGAAAAAGTGGAAGGGTGCTAAGCATTTAAGGCAAGATAATCCAAGTAGAAACCTCCTGTATAAAAGCTACTTTGGACAGCCCTTAGCCGAGGGACCTTAAAGATTTTCCTTCCTTATCTTCTGAGACTCCAGAATTTTAAACAATGCTGTCAAACAGGAGCTATGCAGACAAGGTAGCTGCAAAGGTTGGGCTCACCCTTTTGAAAACCTCTCTCAAGCAGTTTGCACAACTTTCTGCCTACCTTCTTTTTGACTTCCTGCTGCACCAATACTCTGCTGTGTTAAGAGACTCTGATTATAGAGCGTGGGCAATGCAGCAGCAGCATATTGCTGGATTCCAGAATAGGCCTGTGTGAGGGCTTCCATTGTGCTACCTGTCCCGTTGGAGAGACCACTACTGCCAAGTCCTCCATTTAAGGCTGCCATTCCTGTATGGGAAAGAGGAAATAAAGATGACTGAGTACTGCTACTGGGCCAGATAAATTAACTTTTAATATTCTGCACTGTTTTTATAATAATGCAAATCCCTGCCTCATAAAGAGGCAGGCAGCAGGAAAAAGCAGAATTAGCACAGCTTCAGGAACGATAATCAGCTATTTCCCCAACTCACCACAACACATAGCTTACCTGCTAGAGAGCTAACATTGAGGCCTGCTGTAGCCCCTGCCAGCGTTTGCAGTGCTCCAAGAGAAGCCATTGGGTTAACAGAGGAGCTGCTACTGGAGCTAGGTGAGGAACCTGCTATTAAAATAAGATAATTAAACTCCAAGCAATGTTTTTGGGACTTGATAATTAAAGTCCCTCATTAAATAATTTTTGTAGAAAAAGCTAACACTGATCAGACCAAGGCAACAGAGTATACTTTATGTCCAAAAATCCCAAACCCACAACCTGATTGATCAAACCACTTGTATTGTCTAACCCTTTCCTGTGTTTTTGAAAAAATTCCTCTTCATCGTAACATCTAATTTTGTACCAATAATAATTTAATGAAGAGTAAGACACCTAACATTCAGTCTACATATGACTGGCAGCTAAACTTTGTTCCTCAGCGTAAAG